ATAAGGAAATATATGAAAGAATTCTATGAACAAAAGGCAATTATATAGAAAAGGTAGTGTACCAACCATATACAAATCTAGTATGAAGGTTAAAATATAAAAGTAGCAAAATCGTAGTAACTATAACTACAGTAATTAGTTAAAAGATACACAAAATATAAAGGTGTAAAATTTGACATCAAAACATAAAACATGAGGGGTGAGATAAAAATGTAGTTCTTTTAGAATGAGGTTGAACTTAAGTGACTGTCAACTTAAAATAGACATATATGTGTATATATTTTATCAGTTATATATGAACCTCATGGTAACCACAAATCAAATACCTATAATTGATACACAAACAATAACTACCAGATCCATGAATTTCATTTCTAGGTGTAAATCCAAAGAAAATGCAAACACTAATTTGAAAAGAAATATGTTCCTCTATGTTCATTGCAGAATTATTTCATGTAGCCATATATTATATATACACAGTATATACATGTGTACATATTAAACCATAGAAAGGAATGAAATCTTGCCATTTGCAACATCATGGATGCCCTTGAGTGCATTATGCTGAGTGAAATAAGAAAGAGAAAGTTAAATACTATATGATTTCAATTACATATGGAATCTCAAAAAAAAAAAAATGAACAGGCAAAACCAGACTTATAGACAGAGAACAGACTGATGCTTGCCAGAAGGGGTGTGATCAGAGGATAGGCAAAATTGTTGAAGGGGGTCAAGAGTTACAAACTTCTAGTTATAAGATAAATAAGTCATAGAGATGTAATGTACAGCACATAGAATATAGACAGTATATTTTACTAACTTTGGTGACAGATGGTAACTAGACTTATTGTGGTAGTCATTTCATAATGTATATAAATGTTGAATCAATATGGTGTACCGAACACTAATACAATATTGTATGTCAATTATATCAATATAAATAATAAGTAAATAGATAAAAGGTGGCATGCTCAAGAGTGTCTAGTACAACTCTGTCCTTTCCCTTGAAAGTGTGACTGTGACATTCATGAACCCACACATTTGTAGTGTTTTTTAAATTACTGAATATTTTTGTCATTTTCTTGAGAATATAGATTTTAACATATATACCCATATATATGTTTTTGTATGTGTGTGTATACGTGTGTGTGTGTGTGTGTGTGTGTGTGTGTATGTATTAATATCCCAGAATGTTATATAGTGTGGTATAAGGGGTAAATATGTATTTTGGACCAAACAGGACTGAATTTATATTTGAGTTCTATTAGTCACTAGTTCTGTTATATTTACAAGTTGCTGAATGTCCATGAACCTCATTTTATCACCTCTAAAATAGGGATAATAGGAATTATCTCAGTTTGGTTGTGAGGATAGACTATAGTAATGTATTTCAAGCACTTGGTACAATGCCCAACCTATAGTAGGCATTCAACAAGTGGCACTGCTAGTAGTTAAGCATAGATGCTTTAAAGTTATATAAATTTAGACAGCAAGTTTGGCAGTTTGTTTATAATATATATAACTATAAAGTATATGTGTATAAATATATGTTTATATATAAAACAAATTTATATATAAAATGAATTTATATATACATATATATTTACATATTATAAAGTATATAAACACACACACTTTCCATAGGACCCAGTAATTGCACTCTTTGGCATTTACTTAAGAGAATTTAAGATATAACTCCACAAAATGACCTATATGCAGATGTTTAATCAGCTTTATTAATAATTGCCAAAAACTGGAAACAACTCAAATGTCCATCAGCTGGTGGATGGATATGCAGAATGTGGTATAGCCATACAGTGGAATACTACTCAGTGATATAAAGGAATGAACTGATACATGTAATAAGTTGAATGCATCTCAAAAGCATTAACTTATGTGAAAGAAGCCAAATTCAAAAGGCTGCCTACTACATGATTCTGTTAACATGGCATTCTAGAAAAGGTAAAACTATAAGGATAAAAATCACATAAGCAGTTGACAAGGGCTGTGCGTAACATAAGGGCATTGACTGTAGTGGTGCACAGGGGAACATTTTGTATGAACATAGGTGTTATCAGAATGGATACATGTGTCAATAAGAATAAGTCAGAAGGATAATACTGACCAAAAAAGCAATTATCTGTGAAATATGTAAAATATTATTTATATAGTGTTAACAACCTATAAAATATGAATTATTATCTATAAGTGCATAACTATATAGTGAAAGTGTAAAATAATCTTGAAATCGATGAACCCCAAATCATGGAAGTGTTTCACGTTAGGGATGGAAGGGAGGGAATGTGACTACTCTGTGATACATGGGTTGGGCTATGTATCTTTTCTTTTAAGGAAGCAATAGAGCACAAAATATTTTTCAGTATAAAAGAAGGTTTATAACTGTATAAAGAGTGCCATCAATATTGTAAATACATGTATTTAGTTGCAAATATACATATGTGTAGACTATATCTGGAAGGATATACAGCAAACAGTTAACCGATAATCTCAGGAGAGGAAAGTTGTAGCACTGAGAGTTGGAGTTGGCAGAAAGATTTACTTTAAATTGTATATTTCTTACACTCTGAATTTTGTCATTTTTTAAATGCATGTATTTTTTTATGTGAGTGTAGACAAATGATTCCATGTAGTTTTTATAAAAGTAATTGCCAAAAATATGGGAACTATCATGGCAGAAAAACAGGAAAAATATTTTGTTTGCTAATTTCCTTAATGTTTGTGATATGACATATTTTTGACTTGTAACATGATGAATTTACATGCTATTAATAATGAAGGACATGCAATAGAAGTAAATAGCATATTTAAATTAGTTACGTTTTCTTACATTACATATAATATATATCCAATTCAAACAAGCCTAAACCAAAAGGAATAAAAATGGATTAATGTACCCAGGAAGTCCAAGAAATAGATCTTTATCTTTCTGGCATCTGAGGATCCAGGGGTACAAATGATGTCATCGGGATTCAGTTTTCTTCTGAGGCTAGTACGATAGAGTACTCTGTTTGAACTTTTGTATACCTGAGTTCATCCTAGCCCCCAGAACTGAACAGGATCACTGTGCTATAAGGTAGGATATTTCCCCCAAAGAGATGTGCTTGCCAGATAAGAACATATCTGATAAAGTAGAGGAAGGAGGTTGTAAAGCCAGAAAGTTTATAATACCTTTGAACATAGTCACCAGGGCCTAGATAGAAGATTAGATAGATAATTGGAATCAAGAAATTAAGCGAATTGCTATAAAGCAACACCAGATCTTCATACCCAACTAAATGTGAGAAGAGAAGTGAAATGTTCACTATTACCCAAAGCACAGGAATTTAAAGTTTTTATGATGTCATTTTCATTGCAGAAATTTTGTAGGCCGGATTTTCATTATGGCATTTTCCTGTTAGAACATTGTTGGGTTTATTTTTTGGTTTGTTCCCCCCGCACCCCACCCCCCGCCCCTCAGAAGTACTAGGTAAAAAAAAAAAAAAAGCTTCAAAATAATCAATTAAGGTAACATATTTATTTAGCAAATTCTCTATTACCTGTCCAATATCTGATTTCCTTAAATACATGCTGCAGGATGCCTGACAGTTTATAAGTTGAACGTGAAATACACTTTTTTTGTGTAATTCTTTTTAACTTGCCACTAGTCACAGTGCGCATCTGTGTCTTCCAAGTTACCATTTCAGTCACATTTTATAGTATACTGCAAATTGGCAAAGTTGTTAATAACCAGCCACCTATTTTTATTTTAAATGCTTTTTAATAATTTTTGAGAATTGTTTTATCTAGACTTCTAGAATTTGGCATGTTAAACAAGCAAACATCATAAATTTAATTTTAAAGTAACTCTTTGTTAGAATTTGCTAGTCCAGTTAGAGAACAAGTTAATTAATTTAATGCCTACCTATACATCAAAATCCAAACTGCTGCAAGTTTTATATTCTTCATTATGAAAAAAGTGAAATTGTCTAATCACTTACATTGCACTAATTTTCCTATGGTCAGTATTTAACAAGTTGTCTTACAGCTTCATTCTTACTCAAGAAAATAATTGCAGTAAAATCATGAGTTCAGCAAAATTAATAAATTATTGCCTCCATTGCTGTTAGTATAGTTCGAGGTGTGTGATAACATTTTGCTGTTACCTATCAAACACCATTTTAAAGTGAAAGACTACTTTTTCATGCAAATTTAACTTTGAATAAACAAAACTGAACCCTGATTTACCAGTACCATATTTTAAAAGCTATGTGGAAAACATTTTGGCCATGCCTGAAATCCAGTGTGAATAATAGTTAAGGTGGCAGTTCTTTTAAAATTACTAGTTGGAACCCTATCGAAAACCTGATTGCAGACTCTTTATGAATATTATAGGCAGAGAGGAGCAATAGCATTTCTTGAATAAATTATCTTTAACATCCACAATTGCTGCCATTTTCCCTTTAGAGATTTTTCCTACAGAAAAGGAATTGAAAAGGTTAAATCATATCTGTAAGAATCAGTCTTGTTATTTTTTTCACATTAAATATCAAAGATGGCTTAACGACATATTTAGAATTTTCTGAGTTTTACTATTAATAAAGTTAAAAGAAAATCTAGTGTGGTCAGGCAGTGGAGCCACATTAAATTTGTATCTGAAACACCCAGGGTGCTTATCTCTACTCTAGATATTGCTCTGAACCCGTGTTCCACATTCTGAATTCTGTGTATAAAGTTAAACATTGCAGAAGGGCATATATCTGATGATACAGATGAATAAGGTTGAGGTTTAGTAATGAACAGAGTTGGTAAGTTTAATATGTTCATGTCTTTAGTATTTCTGTTATTAATGTAATTGGATTATTTTGTGGGAAATTATGAAACACTAAAAATACTGATAGATTTAAAACTACCAGAAATTTAAGACTCTTATTCATACTATAGTAGTATACTTTAACATATCAAGCTAATATTAAATTTCTTAAAATATTGATTACTTGCAGGCAAAGTTGTTAGCTATGCAACAAGCCAGAGAAACAGCTGTTCAACAGTACAAAAAACTGGAAGAAGAAATTCAGACACTTCGAGTTTACTACAGGTAAAATTCTTTTTAGCCTGACCATAAATAAATGTTGGTTTGGAAAATGCTTCTACCCAATTTTACAGTGGTGAGTGAGGAAATACCTCAATGAAATTAAGCATTATGCACTTAAAACATTTTTGTAATTTTAAAATGATTCAGACATAAATGCTTATTATATTACCTCTTCTCCTTACTGCATTTGGTAAAGTTTAAGTTTAGACTCCCACGAGATTTTTAAAATTTACTTAACTCATAACCAGTTGTCTAAATGGAGCCTAGTTAACTCTTGAACTATTTTCTCATATAAATGCCACCTCTAACGTGATGACATGTATTTTTAAAATAGTACACGAATATCAGTAATAACAGCCTTTCACTTATTATAATATGAGAAGTTTCTAAAGGAATGCCACTAAAGAATTTTTAAGGTTTATCTAATTTATGCTACAAGAGTAGTTGTGAAATTAATTCAGTAGGTCACACTGGCATTTTTAATGAAAAGAAATAGAATAGAAAATGTCAGAGTGCATCTCCTGTAGTGTAAGGGTAAATACTGTTTGGCAATACTTCTGTTTCAGTTTCGTCGTATGTGAGAAAGGTAAGATTGTGTATTGGACTATATATGAAATACATATTCTCACAGCAGGTCATGGTTCTTTAAAGAATGGTTTGAGAATTATGTACAATACCTTATATATTCTTTGATAACTTACTGGAGCTATAGGTTATTGAAAGATTTTTTAAAATTTGGCCTTCTTTTCAGAATAATGTTAAGTGCATAAAATGCAATAAGTCAAATCAGTTTTACTGAAATAGAATGATCAAAGTGTTTTCTCATGATATAGTAGTATATACATGTGTCATTATTAATACATTATTAAATAACTAGGTCTAACAGTAAGTCTATTAACAGCTGTGATTTCAAAGTAATAATGGCCGTCAATGGTATTTGGGGGATAACTGTAAACACAGAAATGTGACATGAAAATAGCAGTGGTTTCTATGGGTGCAAACTCTCAAGAATCACTAAAACTATTGTAGTTTGTTGCCTATGTTCATAATTGTAGGAAATGCTGTATTTACATGAGAGTTAGTGAAAAATAGAGATGGCATTTTTTCCCATCCCCAAATTAAGAACCCCTGCTTTGAAGCACTTTTACTGACATATACAATAGTTGGTTATTTTTCTGGGTTGAGTTGTGTCCCTCAAGAAAGATATGTTGAAGTCCTAACCCCTAGTACCTAAGACCTTGTCTTTATTTGTAAATACAGCCTTTACAGAGGTAATCAAACAAAGTCATTAGCATGGCACTCTAACCCAATATGACTGATGTTCTTATAAAGTGGAAATTTGGACACAGAGACATATACATAGAGGGAAGACTGTAATGACACAGGGAGAAGACAACCTTGTCCCTGGAGTGATCCATCTACAAGCCAAGAAATGCCAAGGATTGGCAGCGAACACCAAAAGCTAGAAGAGGTATGGGAGAACTCTCCCGTACAGGCATCAAAAAAAAAAAGCATAGCCCAGCAGACATCTTGATTTGGGATTTTTAGCTTTCAGAACTGCAATTTCTGTTATTTTAAGCCTTCCCCCTTGCCTCACGTTTGTGGTACTTTGTTACAGCAACCCTAGGAAACTAATGCAGTTATGACACCAAGTATGTTTGGTTGATGATTGTCTGTGGGGACTCATTTGTTTGCAGTTAGAATCAGTGTCTATATGTGGCCATGTAGGTAAGCAGAACCCTAATCGTACATGAAGACATCCTATCCACCCACCTTTTTTTTTTTAACTCTATATTTTACAGCAGTGGTTTCTCAACTATAGCTGTGCATTAAAATCACCTGAAGACCCTCTAAAACTCTGATCCTCATCCCGTACCAGACCAATAACATCAGAGTCTCTTGGGGTAGCACTAGGCTACCAGTGTGTTTTAAAGCTCCCTAAAAATTCCCATGTGCAGCCAAGTTTGAGGGCCACTTCTCTGCATGCACATTTCAGTTAGCTGCATTAAATTAGGGTCTCTTCTTGGTAGACTAATAGAGGCATATATTAAACCATTAATTAAAACTTCCAAATAGTGTGTGATTTGTGCCCAGACTTTAGATGTTGCAGTGTGGTACATAGTAGCTTTATCCCCTAGTTAGGAGAAATATTATGGAGTCTTCTCCTGCCATCCTTGTTAGATAGGACAGCAGTTACTCTGGCAACTAAGTGACAGTGTCCAGGAATTCTAAGAGGCATATGATAACCTTGCATGAATGGACATTACTTTTTGAAAAAGAAATCTTGATGCTAATTCATGACGTTCCTTTGCTTTTCTAAGTTGCAGAAGATTTTTGAAAGGTTTTGAAAATTATAAAGCTTTAACTGCTCTTTTTAAGGACTTTTAAATCTACACAAATTTCGCAGTTAAATGATCTTTTCCAAATAAAGAATTAACAATTATTGATTCAAAGATATCTTTCACAAGTACCCTTCTCATTGCTGCTTTAAAAAAAAGTTGCTAGTAGTGTGGCAAAGCTATGAGGATTTGTAGTTAGATAGCCCTGCCTTCTGTGACCATTTCCTTTTCTTGAAATAGGAATTATACTACCTACCTTATAGAGTTCTTTTAAGCTTGTTAGTGCTCAACCTATGTTAAGATAAATTTCTTTTTACAACAAAAGTCAGTGAGGTAGGTAGAAGTATATCAAAAACTATGATATCACTGAAGCCAAAGAAGGAGATTTCAAAAAAATAAGTCAAATGTTGCTAAATGGTTAAGTACGATAAGGACAGAGAGTATCCTTTTTGTTTGAAATTAGGCAGTCATTAATGACCTCCACAACAGTATTTTTAATAGAGTATTAGATATAGAAGCCAGTTTTCTGTGACTTGATTAGAGGTGTAAAGAAGCATAACAATTGGACAATAGAGTGGTCCTTCAAGAAACTTGAATAAGAAGGGTGTTAATGACAGTTGAGAATAAAGGAAGGTAGATTTAGAATTTGTTTTTTAAAAAAAAAATGGCAGATACTTGAGCATATTTATGACTCATTTGAAGGAGCCGATAGCCAATAGAATGAACTGTTATGGAACAGGATTCCTAAAGAAATAGGTTGAGATAGAATATAGAATCTGCAGAAGAGTTTGCATTAAACAGGAACATCATCACCTCGTACTTATAGACAGGTGTGAAGGAGATGAGAATAGCTATGAATGTAAATATTTCTTTTTTTTTTTTTTCTGTAAAGTAAGGGCCAGTGTGGGCTTCTGAAGTGAGAAGGCAGGATGTTTTGAAAGAACTAACAGAGTAGCTGCTGAAGGGGAGTTGGAGAGAGAACTGAATAAAGACAGGAAGAACAAAGTCAATCCTGAAGTCTCATCTGGGAATGAACGCCATAAACTCGTATGAGTTCTAGTTTGTACAGCTATGTGAGTTAACACTTTCAACTGTCCTTGTATAGCAATGCGAAAGGGAAAGGATCAAAATGATTCAGGATTATAAATTTACAGGTTTAAAATTGTGGCAAGGAGAGTGGTTAAGGGTACATTAGAAAGGACATGTGTACTGAGAGAAAAAGGAGGAATCAGGAAATCATAAATCTTGAGAATACTATAGAGTAAATGTAGAGGGAGTAAGAAAATTTAAGAGCTCGAAGTATTAGAAATTGTAGTCACAAAGTGGAATATTGCTACTTAAGATCTGAGAGGTGAAGCACTCGATCTGAGCAATGACAATGTTAATGCTTTTTCTTAAAAGTGGGTGGTTAAAGTTAAGAGGTGAAGGTCACTAGCTATGAAGTCAAAGATCTGTGAAACTTAAGTATTGAATACCCATTTGGATATTGTCTCTGAAAATATTGGCGTATGTTGCAGTACTCAGTGTAATAATAGAAAGTGACCTAACAGTAGATAAATAAAAGCTATGTGTTGAAATAGTGATGTATAGCTAGATGTATCAAAAGAAGAAACCTGGACATCCTGTGATGCATAGAAAAATGTGGGCTGTCCTTTCAAGAAAAATAGGAAAGATGTATCCTTCAGAGAGATTTACATTTCTGTCAAAATAAATGTACAGTGAACTTTTTTACGTCGTTGATGGGAATGTAAAATGATGCACATGCTGTGGGAAACAGTTTGGTGGTTCCTCAAAAAGTTAAACATAGAATTCTCATATGACCCAGCAATTCCAAACTTAGGTATACACCCCAAAATAATTGAAAGCAAGGACTCAAACAGATACTTGTACACCAGTACATGTTCATGATAGGATTGTTCATATTAGCCAAAAGGTGGAAACAACCCAAGTGTCCATTAACAAATAAATAAATAAACAAAATATGTTATAGACCTATAATAGAATATTATTCATCCGCAAAAAGGAATGAAATTCTGATACATGTTATAACATGGGTGACCATTTAAAAAAAAAATGTTGATTGAAACAAGCCAGACAGGAACGACAAATATATGATTTCACTTCTATGAGGTTCTTAAAACAGGCAAATTTATAGACAGAAAGTAGAATAGAGATTACCGGGTACTGGGTGAAGGGGAAAATTGGGAGTTGCCAAGAGCTGGGGGAAGGAGAGACTGAGGAGTTATTGTTTAATGGGTATAGAGTTTCTGCTTGGAATGGTGATAAAGTTCTGAAAATGGATAGTGGTGATGGTTCTGCAATGTTGTGAATGTACTTCATGTCACTGAGTTGTACACTTAAAAATGGTTAAAATGGTAAGTTTTATATTATGTTGTTTTACCACAGTTTTTTAAAAGGAACAGAGAATATTCTGTGCGGATGTACCGAAATGTTTTTTTAAATGGAATAAGGGTAAGATCCCTAGGTTATAAAACTCCAGGAAGGGAGAGGCAATTACTAAAAACAACAAAACTTAAATTTCCTGGAAGCTCACATTTTAATTTAAATTGATTTAAATGAAAGTAAATAATATTTCTTACACACGTGAATAGCTGGTAGTTATGAATCAGTACATGAAACAACTAATTCATATACCTATCAGGT